ACTTTGTTTGGACATTTCTGTTTGAAAGATGAATGTGGCCTGGGCCAGTTTGGGTCAGCAGTTAGAGCATTGGCCTATGGACCAAAGAGTCGCAGGTTCGATTCCGGTCAAGGGCATGTACCTCAGTTGCAGGTCATTCCTGGCCCTGATCGGGGTTGTGTGTGAGGCAACCAGTCGATGTGTCCTTCTCACGTTGATGTTTCTCTCTCTCTCTCTCTCTCTCTCCTCCCCCTCCTCCTCCTCACTCTATATGAAGATATTTGAAAACACATCCTTGGGTGAGGATTAAAAAAAGATAAAATAAAAGATGAATGTGTGTGAGACCTGTGTATCTATTTGGGCCAAAGGTATGAGGAATGAAATGTTACTTTTAAGTGATCATCATTCCAGGGTGGTTCATGGACCCTAAAAATAAGAAATTAAAATGGTGTTGAGCCATTTCAACCCAATGGAACCAGACATGGACTGGGGCCAACAGGACTAGAAGGAGAGGCTGCCAAAGACCAGGCCTCTCCAGCCCTCAAGTCCTGGGGACATTTTCCCTCGGGTCAGAGCACAGCTTTGGCAGCTCCTAAGGGGAACACCCCCCCACACCTCCAGCCCCCTTTGAAAGGAAAAGATAATTTTAAGAGGTTTATGATCATAAATTTAAACCGTCCTCAATTTGGGGCACATGGGGAAAAAGTTGGCTCTTAAAGAAAGCGTGCAAACCAAGTTGAGAAAGGGACACTGGGCAGGCAGGTGACAGGATCGGTGAATGGCCGTCAGGACGCGGAGCCGAGAGCCCGGCGGGCAGACGGTTTGGGTGGTGGGAGCAGCTGGCACTTGGAGCTGGCACGACGGGCCACGGTGTGCCGTCCTCACCTAGCTAGCAAGCACCGGGCCAGGCGACACAGAGCCCAGCCACCCCACCGGCTGCGTGGTCACTGCTGCCCGCTCCCCTCCAACACCCGGGGCCGGTGGCTCGAGGTGGCACGATGACCCCAAAGGCTTTGAGTCTGAAACCAAAACCGTGGGATCGGTTGGGAAGCAGAGGGGACTGTAGGAATGGAAGCCACCAGGACGTTCTCCGTCTTTGCCTCAGCTCTATGGCGCAGCCCATTCCCGGCGGCCACACGGACGCACTTGATGAACAAGGGGGGCCTGACCTACGTGAACTGTCCCCCCGACTGGACAAAGCACAGTCTCGGCTTCTCGACCGAATGAGCCTCGTGCTCACGGGCCACCGCCCTGTGGCTGTGTATGCCTGGGCTCCTGTGGCCGGAATGACACGCGGTGGAACTTCCCTCATCAGAGTTAACGCTGCACCGAGAGAACCCCTCTGGAACACCAGCTCTTTCTGCAAGACGCGACCCCGCCCAGCTGCCCCCGCCCAGCTGCCCACGCCAAGGAGCAGGGCCAGGAGCCAACAACAATTGCAAATCAAATAAACAAAAATGTCTTTCTCAACTTTAGGAGACCCCCAAAGCCATTTTCATAGGCTGTCAAAATCTCAGTGAGGAGAAAGAACACAAACGTGGCAAGTTGTTTTCGAGAGGCAGCTGCCCCACAGGGTTGGATGGAGTCGCATCTGCATTTCTGGGAGCAAGGTCGTAAACACCTGGAAAGGGCTAGGGCTTCACTGCCCACTGACTGCCAGGTGCAGCGGGCCTCCGAGCTCCTGGCCTTCCGTTCCCATGACGATTCTGTGCCGTGGTGGAGTCTGTTCCCGTGGCTGCCGGGACAGGCGGTCACAAGGTTGGTGGCTTAAAGAAACACGTGTCAATTCTCTCCAGCTCTGGAGGTCAGGAGCCTGAAATGGGTCTCACGGGCTCCTTCGGGACGCTCCAGGGGAGAGGCCGCTCCTGGCTTCCTGCAGCTTCTCCAGGCTCCCTGCAGCTTCTCCAGGCTCCCTGCAGCTTCTCCAGGCTCCCTGCAGCTTCTCCAGGCTTCCTGCAGCTTCTCCAGGCTCCCTGCAGCTTCTCCAGGCTCCCTGCAGCTTCTCCAGGCTCCCTGCAGCTTCTCCAGGCTTCCTGCTTCTTGGGCGCGTGGCCTCCGTCCACCTTCACCTCCGGCAGTTGCATCGCCTCTGCGTCTGTCCTCACATTTTTGCTGACCCCAGCTCTCCTCGTCTCCATTTCATTTATAAGGACCCTTGTGACCACTGGGCCCCCGGGCAACCCAGGGTAACCTCCCCTCCTGAATCTTAGCCACATCTGCAAAGCCTCTTTTCCATATAAGGTGACGTATTCACAGCTTTCAGGACTTAGGGCACTGGTGGGGGGCATTCTGCCTACCACAAATGGGCACGGTTACATCTGTTCTGAAGATGAGCAAATACACTCAGAGATGTTGGGCAATGTTCCCGAGGCCCCTCGGCTGGTGGATGGTTAGGATCCGAAACCGTAGCTTCCGGGCTCCAAAGCCAAAGCTCCTTCTCCCCAGCACATCATTCTAACTCAGCTCCTCAGACTCACGCTGAATGTACTCTCGTGACTTTCCAGGGATTCGGGTAAATGCTGCCATTTTAAGGACTGTTTCCAACAGACTATTCTGCAGCTCCCACTCTTTTAGAAGCTATACTAGGGGGAGGACAGATGAGTGGGGTCATGCACAGGGCTGGGGGACAGGATGTCCAGTGAACTTCACTTCCCCTCGCCTGGCTAACTCTCGGCTTCTTGGCCTCCTCCTCCAGGAAGTCCTCCTGGAAACCCTTACAAGAGAGTCCATCCCAGTGTTGCACATGGTATGTGTCTGTTTCTGGGTCTTTCTCTCTAGATCATTGCACTGGTGACATCCTGGCGTGAGCATGGTATGGGTGCACCGGAGCTGCTTGTGGGTGCGGTGGAGGAATGCATGAATGAATAGATATACCACCAGGGTGACGAGGCTGTCCCTCCCCGCGGTGGGCCACAGGAAGGCTCCCGAGCCTCCAGAACACACGTGATCTAAATGACTGTGATCCAAACGGCAAGGCAGCAGCAGGGACCCTGCAGAGGCTGCGAGGCCCGATTCTGATTTCAGCAAGGTCCTCTCCTCTCCCAGGAGCGTGACGTCATTGACCTCTTCCTGGGATTAGTACTGCCAAGAAGTACCTCGTCAAGCATCATCAGCTTTTAAGGAAGGGACCCCAGCTCTTAGCTCTCTTTGCTCCCTGAGGTTCTGACCTATTGGCTATGTGACCCTGGTAAGTCATTTCTTTGAGACTTGGTTTCCTCATCTCTCAAAAGACCGTAAAACCCTGCTCTCTGCAAGGATGTTCACCACAGCCTTGTTTACAGACACCTGCCCGGCTTGCCTCGCTCACTATGTATTCACTTGCTTAACCCTCGCCCACCCCTAGGAGGCAGGGGCGACGTCCTTATTATGGAAGTGGGGAAATCGAGTCACAGAGCCATGAGATAAGTTGCCCAGGGTCACGCAGCTCAAAAGGGTCAGAGCCGGGGTCAGAAGCCAGGCAGTGGGGCTCTGCCGTCCAGGCTCTAAGGAGACCGCCGCCCGCAGCCCCGACCCCGCAGACGACGGTCAAGGCGATTGCCGTACGGCCAGTTTGCAAAGGATGACGGCACTTCCACACGAGTGCTGGTGTGGGGTGGTGACCTGCATCCTTCCTGTACGTGTGTTACACTGGCAGGAAACGTACCCAAACAAGAAGCGATAAAGAGGGAGGTCATTCTGAGACGGGTCTAGGGGACAATAGCAGGGTTAACGTGAGTCCGCAGAACGGGACCCCTGAGGCGTGGGAATCAAACACACATGCATGTGTAGGCAAGGGGCATTTTGCTGAACTGCCTTGGCTAGTATGACTGTAGGTGACTTCATGGTTTCTACTTTTTTTCTGAATTCTGTAAATCTACCCTTATAAGCTCACTTTGATTTATTTTAACAGCAAACTACTTTACCCCCCAAAACCCCAAAACAAACCCTGTCGTTTCCCATCACCTTTCCCCAGACTGCTTTTCTGCTGACCAATGTGAAAGTCAACGATAACAACCGGGGTGGAGGCAGGGGGCTCTATAACTCCAACTTTATAAAGCTTTTCTCTCTGACGAAACGACCGTGAATGGGAGGAGAGGGAGGCTGAACCCGGTCTCGATACGTCTACGGAACCCGTTTTAAAGAGCATCTTGTCAAAATGTCCCGCTAAGAGCGGGGAGCGAAATGAAGTGTTCCGTTGAAAAGGAGTCAGAAATGCAGCGGGGAGCTGGTCAGCTCTACGAGCAAGAGTGGAGAGAAACCAGCTGCTCCATCAAGGTCAGGGGACAAGGTCAGGGGACAAGGTCACTCCGACTCTAACCCTCTTCTCTTTCCTTCGGACAGGGTCCCCGGGTGGACTGTGTGCTGAGGCTGCACACCGACGGGGTCAAAGGGAAGCCGGGGCTCGGAGCTGCGGGTGTTCTCCGGCGTCACACGGCCGGGAAGACGCAGAGCCAGCGTCCCGACCTGGTGCAGTCTGATTGCAAGACCCTCGCAGTCTCTGCTGGGTTCTCAAGCCCCACCCCCACCCCAAATGTTTATTTTCCACATTGGAGGTGGAGAAAGAGTGATGAGCTCTCTTTCCTCTTCTTTTGGAGACTGTGGCTTGTTACTAAAGCCACCCTCTGTGACACACCGACCGACTGGTTCCCTTTCTCTGCTCCTTGCCTTGCGAGCTCTAGATGCCGGCTGGGAAGATGCCGGCTCACGGAGCTGAAACATTTTTGAGGTCGTGGCCACAGGCACGCTGGCCTGGGCTCCCAGGGGATCTGTCCCCCTTCAGAGGGGGCGCCGCAGCTGTATCACTTGTGACGAGGTAAGAGTTCAAAGGAGGGAGCTATTTTTTTTTTTTTTTTAAGGGAAGACAATAGGGAAGCAAAATAGAGATAAGAATATTCTCTGGAGGAGTGAAATGTCAGCGATGCTCTGCATGATAAACTCCTAAAATTCAGACACCTCTTAGTGTCCGAGGGCTCCGTCCCTGGGGCCCTGTGTCCTGTTTCATCCTCTGCGCTGTTCTCAGGAATGACCCTCCGCTTACTCACCGAGAAGATGGACGCCAGCGTCTCAATGCCGCCTGTGCTCAAGGTGATGTAGGGGATCTTTTCCGGAGGGATCCCAGCTTTCCCAAAGATGCTGTTGGTGTAGAACCAAATCTATAACGCAGGGAAGAAAACAAGGGAGTTTGGTGAGTGGGGCGCCTCTGTTTCCTAAATTAAAACCAGGCACACGGAGATCTCGGCGACGCGGGGCTAAGTCCAGAGTTGAGCTACATGGCGTGCCGACTCCTTGTTTTCTCCCCTCTCCCACATTTCCCCCTCTTCCTTGCTAACAGAGCCCCTACATCACCAGGTACATGTGCTCTGTGAAGTGTGGCAATGAGCTATGAACAGAAATGTCAGTGGCTCTTCAAGAAAGTCTCCTTAAAAGGAGCTTTCCATCATGGAGGTGTGATCCCGTTTTATGCCCTTCCTCCTTTCTGCTGTCGGGATAGTGATTGTGACCTCTGGAGCTGCAGCAGCCCTTTTGGATCACTAGGGGACCCCAGGGCAGCACTGCTAGCCCCCAGGGTGACTTAGTGGGGATTAGAAAAGGTCCCTGCTCCACACAACCCTTGACTGTCATTTACTGGAAAACGGTCGTAATAAATCTACAGCAGGCACCATGTAAATGCGCTCTGTCTGGTGCAGGGCACAACCTAAATAATGAGAGCCTCGGTCTGGGGATGGAAGCCACCTGTTCAGATGCTGAAGCTGGAAGTGAGAAGGAGCCTGCGTCCTTAGTGACTAGAGTGATTGTATAATTTATTATCCACACCTGCACACTTTCAAGAGTGTTAATCCCTATTCCAGGACCACAGGCAGACATCAGACCTCTCCTGGGCAAACCAGGCTGTGTGGTCTTGGGCGGCTGCACCAGCCCTCCCGACGTCCTTAGAGAGAAAACCTGCATTGTTCAGGTCACATGCGGCCACACCTGACCTTAACAGGACACTCGCAGGACTTCTGGTGATCACTGATTCAACGTTTGGAGACCTGGCTCCATCCTGACCCTCTGTGTGACCACAGGAATCCATTCCTCCTGCTGAGACCCTTCCCAGGAGAAGGACGGCCATGCCCTTCCTGTGAGGCATCAGGGACTGGGTGCAGCGGTCCCTGTTCGTTATTTGGTTGACATTGTGGATCAATAGGCTGGACGCCACTGACTTCGTGTTCTGCCGCCGCAGCCATTTCCGTGAAGAGCAAGCGTTGGCCGAGCGGCAGGAAACCGCGCTGTCCTGACGCACGGAAGCGGACGGGGAACCGCTGCCTGGAAGGGCCCGGGAAGCACGGCGACCCTGGTCACCATGAAGCCGAAATGTCGGTGCTCGTTGTCATGACGTCAGGTTCCACTGGATGTGGCGCCCTCTTCACACGGGTTCTTGCTGCGTTTCTGGACAGAGCTCTCTTTTCTATGTGTTTGTTTAGCAAAACGTGTCCATGCACAGGGAGAGAAGGCAGCGTTTAGAACCACCTGACGTCTACTGATGGTTTCCTTCCTGGCGCGGGGAGAAAGCCTTCCTGAAGGTACTGGCACCTGCGGAGACCCCAGTCATGTTTAGTGCCTACAACTCCGAGGGCTGTGCACAAGTGACCATCGTTCCGAAGCCTCTGGCCCCGCTGGGCTGTCTAATCTGCTCTCTTTTGGAAGGTGACTGTGATCCCAGCCCATCTGTAGGTCACACGAGGCCAAACCTCAGCCGAGCAGACACTCGGGGGGCACCAATCACCGATTCGGAGTTTGGAGACCTTGCTTCCAGGTCTGATCGGAGGGGCTCAGCTGCCTTTCTTCCTCTTCACTCCAAATACACTGATTTTCTACCGCTGAGGGTCTCTGTGGGCCCTCTGACCTCCAGGCAGGCTGCTGGTCCCCACGCAAAGGGACCTAGGGGACTTGTGTTAGTCTAAGCCTGGGAGTAACATAACAAAACAAATAACCCAACTGAAAAATAGGCAAAGGGCTTGAATAGATATTTTCCAAAAGAAGACATACACATGGCCAACAGGTGTGTGAAAAGATGCTCAACATCACTAATCATCAAAGAAACACAAATGGAAGCCACAGGCTATTACCTCACACCTGTCAGGATGGCTATTCTATATATTTTTTAAAAGGGATAACAAATGTTGGTGAGGATGTGGAGACCTTAAAACCCTCACATAGTGTTGGTAGGAATGTAAATTTGTGAAGCTTCTGTAAAAAACAGTATGAAAGGTCCTCAACAAATTAAAATTAGAACTATCATATGATCCCACTTCTGGGTATTTATCCAAAAGGGTCAGAAGCAGGATCTCAAAGGGATATAAGCACCCCTGTGTTCAATAAAACATTATTCCCAATCGCCAAGATGTGGACATAACCTGAATGTTTATCAGTGGATGAATGGATAAAGGAAACATATACAATGGAATATTATACAGCCTTAAAAAAGAAGGAAATCCTGCCATACGTGAGAACATGGGTGAACCTGGAAGAGGTCACCCTAAGTGAAATAAGCCAGTCACAGGAGGACAAACGCTGCCTGATTGCGCTCAAACGAGGTATCGGCCATAGTCAAACTCCCAGAAGCAGAGAGTGGAATGGTGGTTGGGAGCAGGGAAATGGGTAAAGTTTCAATTACAGAAGTTGAGTAAGTTCTAACCATCTGCTGTAATATTGTGTCTGTGGTCAACAATGTTGTACGGTACACTTAAACATTTTCTAAAGGGTAGATCTCACGAAGACTGCTCTCACAACAGTAAGAAATCCGTGAAAGCAACCAATCCGAGGGCGCACAACCTGAAGAAGGCATCTCGCCACTGCTGACTTGGGCAGTGTGCAAGACGCGTCTCCCACCATGTGCTCGTGCCGCGGGTCTAAGATACACCCTGGTGGGATTTATGAAGTGACGTAGGGTTTTCAAATCAGAAAATTACATCCCAGCGGAGGAGAGAACTCCCTTTAGAAATGTCTTGGTTCTTGGTCTAAATGCCTCATTAGATACAGGTGCCGTGTGTGGCTTTTTCGACTCCAAAAATGGAGCTTTAAGAACAATACATGCTCCCGCTCTGCTTTCTCTGAACAGCAGGGAGGCTTTGAAACCCTGGAGCATGACCTTGACCTTGTGGGGAGGAAACGGCAGGACTCATCCTAGGTCACCCTGCTGACCTGGCCCCTCCTCATTCTGCCGAATTGAACCAAACCAAAGAGCAGGTGAAACCACGCTGGTCATAACTTCTACGCTGCCATTCTTCCATCTCCAGACAGGAAGGCTCCCTCTCGTATCACCTCCCCTAACACCCCGAGCCGCTCCCTGCTGATTCCGAGGGGGCCCAGGCTCCTGCTCACTCCATGTAGACCAGAGGAGCTGTTTCACCTGGGCTCTTTGGAAGACGCTCCGGGCCCAGCCACACTTCTCCTGAGCTGTGGAAGTGACGCCAGAAGGTCCCGGGTGCTTCAGTGCAGAATCTCCTCTGCACACCCTGCCAAGTGGCCGGCTGGCTGAATGGGGAGCTCATCACCCCTGGAGGCAACCCGCTGTTTGCCAGAAGCAATAATGATGAGGATCCCAAGTCAGCCTCCCTCATCCTCAAATTCCCAGATTCCGATTCTGGAGCCCTTGCGAGGGAAGGCGTGGCCGAGCTCACCAGAGGGTTTGGGGAACTCTGTGGGAGGACCCCCTCTTCCCACCTCCCTGCCTACAGCAGCTCAGGCCCCAGGAAACCCTGAGATTTTCTCAGGCCGAAGTTGCCCCCTAAAGCCGCCCAGCCACATGTACTTTCATTTAAATCACCTCCATCTCTCTTCCTTATGACTTCCTAGTAGCCACTTGATGAAGAAATGTGACTTCTAAGTATTTCCAGGATAAGTAATTATAATGGCAGCCGCATTTTTTAAGGGGTCCGTCTGCTAGCTGCCGCGCTGAGCACTGCACGGATGATTTCTTTCAGTATTATGTTGTCTCGTTTTACAGATGAGGAAACTGAGGATCAGACGATGTGGTTGCCCAACGGCACAGAGCTGGCGGAGGCGGCGGAGCTGGGATGGAGCCTGGGCACCTGCCCTACTCCGCCCCTCGCCGCCCCCCACCCGACTGCAGGACACTCACCGCGTTGAGGCCGCAGAGCTGGTAGCAGGCCATGGTGACCACCACGGTGATGACCGGCCAGCGCACGGAGGGCGTCCTCAGCAGCTCCGGCACGGACACCAGGCGGATGTTCCTCTGCACGCGGCCCTCCGCCAGGACCTCCTCCACCTCTCGGGACACGTCCTCTTTGCCCAGGAACGTCCGGAAGGCTGCACACGGGAACAAGCAGGGACTTTCAGCAGAGGCCAGGCTGTGTCTGTGTCTGATGCTGGGCCCACAGACACGGTCCTGCCACCCAGACACACGCCTGGTCAGGGACGGAGCTGGCAGGGGCCTCTGAGACCACGGAGTTCGAAAGGAGGAAAACAAAGACCCAGGGCATGGGTGACTTGCCCAAGGTCCCCAGTCGGCCGGGAGAAGAGTCAGGAGAGAGCGGGGTCTCCTGGCCCACCGCCAAGCCCAGCTTCCAGTCCCGTCTCTGCCCCGGGGCAGAGGAGCAGGTTGCGTTCGTTCCGGCCTCAGGCGGCGGCCGTGACAACCGCATGATTTACCCACTAAATTCACGCGCAGGACGAGCCCTTTCCATAAACGCTCCCGAGCACCCTTGTGCCCTGCCCTCGTCCCCGTCAGTGCCAGCAGAGGCCAGGTGCCCGCCTGGCCAGGATACGGGGGAGTCCGTTCTATCGCCGGAAGGAGGACCTCCAGGCCCCTTCCACACGCCGCCCGACAGGCAGCGACCCGGGAACAGCCCCAGAGAGCTATCGGCCCGGGAGTCAGGCTGACTCCCCTGACCTGTGCCTTTTCCCTGCCGAGCGCTGCAAGTTTCCGGCCTCGGTGAACCTGTCACTTTGTACCAAGAACTTAACTGTGGAAACCTCCGTGGGCTGGCTGATCAGACCCCTGAGGTTGTGATGATTGGATCATGGGAGAGACTTTGGCAGGACAGGCCCAAATGTGCAGCGCTGAGATCGTCACCCTCCTTCAGGGACAGGAGCCCATGGTGACGCTCCCGTGGACGGTCACTGCAGACACTGTGGGCGGTCACTGCAGACACTGTGGGCGTCATCCTCGCAAACACTGCTCTGAGCACAGGGCATGAGGAATTGCTCAAGTAGCAAAAAAAAAAAAGCTGTTCAACTTGCTCCTGATTCTCCAAGAAGCAAGCTCACAGAGGCTCAGGGTGCTGTTTCCAGAAGTGCACTGAAAACGGCTTCAGAATCTCTTTTGTAGGCTACGACTCCCTGCTCTTCCTGGCATTCATTAAGGATCAGTGGGAGAAGCAGCTGAATGAGTAACGTTTCCGCATCATGCACTCACCCAGTGATTTTCAGCCGGTGCGCTGCAAGAATTGTTAACACAGGCAACACCTGACTGTTTAGTCAGGGGCACTGACCTCGTGTCCTTTAGATTGTCAAATAAAAAAGTGAAAATAGTCAACACAATAGCCATCTGGTGTGAATGAATCAAAATCATACCTATATTTTTTTGTCAGATCAGCAAAATATATATTTTTGGTGTGTTGCAAAATTTTAATTAGTTTCTCTGTGTCGTGAAATGAAAAAGGTTGAAAATTGCTGCACTAAACCAAAGCTTACAATGCAACATTCACATGCTAAAGTACTCTTAGAGTTTGGAGCGGGGAAACATTTCTCCTCCCCAATATATATATACTTTCCATATAAAATAAGGAAACTTTATAACCTATTTTTTCCCTTTTCACCTTGGCTGCCTGGAAGCTCTCGGCTCACTTCTAGGAATAGACCCTAAGAAGCCTGAAACACCAATCAGAAAGAATGTATGTACCCCCATGTTCGTAGCAGCACTATTTACAACAACTAAGATCTGGAAACAGCCCAAATGTAGAGGAATGGATAAAAAGCTGTGGTACAGATACACAATGGAGTACTACGCAGCTGTAAGAAAGAAAGATCTCTTATCCTTTGAGACGCCATGGAGGGACCTGGAAAGTGTCGTCCTAAGCGAAACAAGCCAAACAGAGAAAGACAAGTATCATATGATCTCACTTATTTGTGGAATATAATGAACATAACAGCCTGAGGAATGGGGTAGGCCCAGAGATGTGGAAGTGGGGTACAGACTGACAATCCCCAGAAGAGGGGGTGGTGGGGGAGAGATAAACCACAGAACTTATATGCATGTATGCATGAACAATGGACATGGACAACAAAGCTGGGGACAGGGTGGGGAGGGAGGATGAGGGGGGAACCAATGGGCGGAAAAGGAGAAATATCTGTAACAAAAAATAAATTAATTAAAAAAAAGATCCCTGGCCGGTTTGGCTCAGCGGTTAGAGCGTCGGCCTGCGGTCCTGAGAGACCCTGGTTCAGTTCCCGCTAAGGGCATGTACCTTGGTTGCAGTTTGTCCCCGACCCTGGTCGGTTGTGCGGGTGGCAACCACTCGATGTGTCCCTTCACATCGAAGTTTCTCTCTCTCTGTTCCTCTCTCTCCCTCCCACTCTACCTGAACAAAAAATGGAAAAATGTCCTCGGGTGAGGATAAAAAAAAGAAACTAAAGAAAGAAAAAATTTAATGTTCAGTTTTTAACAGACTTTCCTGAAACAAAAATCTCTCTTCTTTCTCTTAAAGGTGATGCTGTCTTCTTTTTCAGCACATTGATTTCATTTCCTGTGTGTATGTGTGTGTTCTGCTTGCCCCATAGCCCTTCTAAGGCTCCTGTGACTGGGCGAGGAACTGGATCTTGGAGGACCAGCATGGCAAACACGAGCTTGGCCACTCAGTCCCTCAGGAAAGGACTCGCTGCCTGGCTGTGAGCAGGGTGGTTACCTGATGGCCATCACCTCAACTTTGGAGCCCAGGTGAGGCTAGACTTGCATATTTTTCTCCCATAGCCTGAGAGTAAGTACACTTCCTCCCATCTTTAGGCGAAGGCCCGGATCTGAGTTTGGAGCAGGGAGTCCATGCACAAAAGGGCAGGCAGCTGCAGGAAGGGGGCAAAGCTCAGAGCACAGTGTTGGGGTGTCCTGCAGCTGGTGAATGGCCACCACCGCTTCTCCTGTCATCACGGTGGTCCTACCAGCTCAGGACAGGTGCTGATGCTGGTGTGAGGTGTGTGACACTTCAGGCCAGAGCCTGGGTCTTATTCAGAGCCCGGCCTGCAGCAGGTGCTCAAACCATGTTGGATAAATAGAACTGGACCTTCCTCGTATTTGCTGGTGTTCTATCTGCAGAAGCCTGGATGCTGGTAGGGTTGGTCTTGTTCTCCTTGGCCCTGAGTTCAAAACCAGGACCAAGGTCAGGAGCTGTGATGTGTCAGATGTCAGCTCGCTGCAGGAAGGATCGTCTGACTGATGTGTTCAAGGGTGGATTGGGAGGTTTTGCAAGCAGTGAGTTCCCCATCCCTGAAGGTGTGCAAGGAGAAGCTTGATGACCACCAGGTGGAGATGTTGTGGGAGGGACCCAGGCATGGAACAGGAAGGTGGATAGTGGGGTTTCAAAAGCAAGTACAGAGCTCCAGGGTGTGGGGTACATGGAAGACAGGGAGAGGATGAGGACGTGCTTCTACGGGGTGGGGCAGGGGATGGGAGAGACACAAAGTTGCCTTAGAAACTTGTAGTCTATGCCCATTTCAAACAAACATTTGCTATGGGAAACAGGCCTCCCAGAGGAGTCTGTTGTGTTTCATGATCAAGTCATTCAAATTATTCATCCCATCTCCCCCGGGGCCCCTCCCCACGGCTCAGGCTCCCACCCTCACCCTTGCTCTGGAAAGTGAGAGGCTTCCCATGGCTCACAGCTCACTCATACTTCCGCTCATGTTCTAATCACTGACTCCAAAGAACTTGAAAAAGAATTTGCACTTCCCAACTGGAAGGCGAACTCTCTGGGCGCTTGGTCAGCTCCGGGGCTGGGAAAGGGAGCTCCAGGCCTTGTACCAGTTGAAGACTCGCCTTTACTCAAGGGGGCAGGGGGCTGACATCATCGTGCGCCTACTTTGTGCCAGGCTCTGGGCTGGCGTCTCACAGACTTGACCTCGATTCCTAGGTTGTTCGGTCCGCTGAGCCTCAGGGAGGTTAGGAGATGTGCCCGAGGTCCCAGGTAGGAAGAGAGGGCGTCAATGTTCCCACCTAGATGTGTTTGATCTTTCTTGACATACACCTCAGAGAATGATGAAAAGAAACTGCAAAGCTGAAATGCTAAGGGAATCAAGGTCTGTTCATTCCAATTAACCTGCAGCTCTGGAGGGCAGGCTAGGTGCCGGGGGGCGGGGGGGGGTTAGCTCACTGATTCAGGAGGAACAAGGCAAGGTTTCTGCTCTGAGGGCACGCAGAGAGCACAGCTCCCTGCCACTCCAGGTGGACGTGGGATGCCGGGCCTGCAGGACCCTCTGCAAGGACAGTGCAGATGGGGAAACTGAGGCTCAGAGGGATGAAGTGACGTGCCCAGGTCCCACAGGTCAGCTGGCATTTGTGGTCCTGCACGGCTGCACGCCCACAGGAATCATCGGATGCCATGGACAGGAGGTGGTCACAGACAGCGCATCTCCCTGTATCATGCATCCCTTGCCCGAGAGTTAGGTCCCGCCTGAAGACAACAGTGCCCGTCAGATGTCTGTGGGCGCTCTGCAATGACTGCTTCTGCACGCACTGAGACTAGCGATTGCATTCCCATTATCAGGAGTGACATCCGCAGCCGGGACTTGTCTTTTGTTCCAGTAGTAAATAAGTCATTTATTACTGAAAAAGCTTTTAAATATTTTACTAAATTGTGGTAAGGGCACCTGACGGGAGCTCTTTCTTCTTAAGGCATATTTATTTATTTATTTATTGTTAATTCTCGCCTGAGGATGTTTTTCCATTGATTTTTTTTAAGGGGAGGGGGAGGGGGAGAGGAAGAGGGAGAGAGAAACTTGGATGTGAGAGAGACCCAAACCAACTGGGGCGGGGGATCAAAGCTGTAACCCAGGTACATGCCCTCGACTGGGAATCGAACCTGCAACCCTTTGGTGCATGGGCCAGTGCTCTACCCACTGAGCCAAACTGGCCAGGGCTACTCTTAACACATCTTTAAATGCACAAGGCAGTGATGCTGAGGACAGGCAGTGTGGCACCGAGGGGTCTAGAGTGCCTTCATCTTCTTCAACTGAAACGTACACCTGTTGACCACGACTTCCCATCCCCCTCCCCCCAGCCCCCGGCAGCCACTATTCCACTGATTCTATGCGTTTGACTATCTCCCATACCTCACATAAGCGAGATCACGTAGTACCTGTCCTTCCGCGACTGGCTTATTTCACGGAGCACAGTGTCCTCCAGGTTCATCCATTTTCTTCTTTTTAAAGGCCGAATAATATTCCACTGTGTGTATAGACTGCATTTTCCATTCCTCCACCCATCCCTGTAGGCTGTTTCCACACCTAGGCTACTGTGACTAGCGTTGCAGTGAACGTGGGTTCGAATAGTCTTCGAGACCGTGGCTTTGAGTCTCGCATAGGTACCCAGAGGTGCGGCTGCTGGACCATGTGGCAGTTCTGGTTTTCACTCTCTGAGGAACCTCCGCACTGCTGTCTGTAGCGACAACACCAGCGTGCATTCCCGCCAACACCGCGCCAGGACTCCCGTTTCTCCACACCCTCGCCGGCACTGAGGTTTGATAACAGCCATCCCGACAGGTGCGAGGTGAAGTCTCGGGGTGGCTTTGGTTCGCATTTCCCTGCTGGTTAGTGATGTTGAGCCTCTTTTCACACACCTGTCGGCCATCTGTACCTCTTCTCGGGATAAATGTCTATTCAAGTCCTTTGCCCCCTTTTAAAGGTTATTATTTTTTTCTTTCGAGGAGTTTCTGATATATTTTGGATATTAAGCCCTTATCAGATATGTGGTTTGCAAATATCTTCCCCCAGTCACTGGGACTCAGTCCCAAATCACTGTTTCAGCATTGCCCGGGTCCCTGGGGCTGGAAGCCACAAACCCCCCTCCTGGGCTCCCACATTCACCCCTCCCCGGGAGATGAGAAGGGACTTTGCGGATGGGTGAGCGGGGGACAGAAGTGGCCTTCACGGCTTGGTTCCTCCCTGTAAGTGTGGAATTGACCTGGAGGAGCACACGCTGTCTGTTCTTCTGTCTTCTGAGGTTTGCCGGGCAGGGCCTGTCCGGGAGCCCATGAGTCAGTGCAGTTTGGAGTTACCATCTTACAAGGCCCTCCTGGACATCAGACCTGCAGCTGTTGGCCAGGTGGTCTCAATTCACATGGGAACTTAATCTGTATTCCCTCCCCCACGCCTGGTCCGCCTCTCACCTGGTGTCACCCTCGGGTGGATAGAGGAGTGTTCGTTATTGGTACCCTCAAATCCCGTCCCAAGGGACACGTTGAAATTTTCCCTTTTCCTTAAGCTGCTTTGGTTTCTGTCTCTTACTACCCAAAGGGTCCTGATCCAGGCAACTTCCCTCCTCCCTGCATCTGAATCACTGCCTCATCACATTCCCCAGGCTAATAGTCACTTCTATTCAATCAAATAAGCTCCCTTTCCTCACAGTGGAAGTCTGGGCTTCTTCCCCATGTTCGGGTGCTGGGAGCTTCTCCTCGATGGACAAGAGGGGCATAAATAAATCCGACCCAGCTGGGACTAAATCCCTGGCCACTCTGAACCGGGTGTGGGAGGGTGGGAAAGCCTGGCAGGGGCCTGGGAGATGGATGGACTGTACTGATGGCCGGAAGCCATGGCCTCCCCACATCTATGCCCTTTGCTCTGTAACTGTGTAGCCCCTCCCACTCTGACTCTGGACTTGACCATGTGACTTATTTTGGCCAATAGGATCTGAAGCTTGAAAAATGGCTTATGTTTTTCACTTCCTCTCTGGGACCTCGGTGCTCACCATGGGGACATGGCCCAGCTAGCCTGCTGGAGGAGGAGGCCCATGGAACAGAGCTGAGGCCACCCTAGATCAGGGGGCTGACCACCAGACACGAGAGCGCTTCCCTGAGGCAAGCAGAATCGTAAGGGCACGCCCTGTGCAGACGAACAGAGCTTCACAGCTGGCCCAGTAAGTGTGATTGTCTTAAGCCAGCGGGTGTCTAGATGGTTTGTTATGCGGCATTATCTTGGCAACAGCTGACTGCTACAGGGCCCCTCTCTCCCAAGTTACCAGCCGACCAGACATGTGCCGAACAAGGTGCGAGGTAGTGGAGTGTGTTTTGTTCATGCTCAGAGGTTCCAGAGCAACAGTGTCCGAGTTCAAATCCAGTGATGCAGGTCAGGTTCCCCGCCCTCAGTTTCTTTGTCTTACGGTGGAAGTAGTAAAGTGATCTACTTTCCACCGCTGTATTGAGGGCCTAACCATCTAACACAGGTGAAGTGCTCAGAATGACCAGAGACCATGCAGATGAGCTGGTCAGGGGAGTGTCCATCTCCTTGGTGCTGGCCCTCCCCACCCTCCTGCAGGACGCCCACTGTTTGCTGAATGGCTGGAGGGAAATGAGCTCTTTTATTAGCACAGATGCAAATTTTAATATTCTCTTTCAACCCAAGGCCAATATCTTTGTTCTTTTTATAGAGCACCCATCTACCATGTACCATGTTTTACAACCGGCCTTCTCTCTCTCCCTACCGTGCTATGAAATGCATCTTTTCAACCTTCTTCACTGTCCGGCATTTATTTCCATGCACTGTCCGTTCCAGCCGTACTTCACTGAAGTGTTTCCCACAAGCTCTTCCCCAGGAGAGCCAGAAGGGTCAAGGGGCACCCCGCCCCCCAGGAGAGAACCCTGCAGGCATCACCTACTTCCAACACTCCACAGCCCCCTGCTTTGGGGACTCACCCTCTCACTCTTCTCAGCCACATTCTTTTTATTTCAGACCCCCCACCACCTGGCCAGGAGCCTCCTTCCTTGAAGCCTGGCTTCTGGGCGGTTGCTGCCCCACCGACCCCACGGGCCACACGGGAAGTCCCCAGGACACTACCACCGATGTCTCTCTCTACATGAGGGTGGCGGGAGGGAGTCACCCTTGGGTTCAGTCCTCCTGTCATTTCCTGGGTCCCCTGTGGGCTTCAGGCCCCCCCCCCACCACGCTTTGCAGATTTTCTGTTTACTGAAGAGACCTGTTGTTTCCATCATATGTTCAAAAGCCTCTAGAAACTCAAACCACACACCACAGCCTTGGGCAAGTCACTTCACCCCTGCAAGCCTCAGTTTCTTCATCTAAATGACCATGTTCTCTGATTTCACGTTACAGAAATGTTGTAAATGAGAAAATATATCTGAACCACACACTGCGAGACAAATATAGGCAATTATTAATATTTCATTATGCCATTTTTTAGTTCAGAAAATAGGTTGCTTGGATTTTTTTAAATGTTGCACAAATTATATTAAGACAATAATTCTCCACTTTTTTCTCGGATGTGGCCGACAGTGCAGTTTAGACGAGAGGGACAGGATCTGGATTAGAAATGGACAGAGTTCTCAGTAGTAATGACAGCACTGATGCTAGATAGACAGATAGCTAGGTAGACAGATAGGCGGACAGATCGCTAGGTAGATAGACAGCTAGGCAGATAGATAGGTAGGTAGATAGACAGCTAGGTAGGTAGATAGACAGATAGGCAGATAGGTAGGTAGACAGATAGGTAGGTAGATAGGTAGGTAGATGGACAGCTAGGTAGGTAGACAGACAGATAGATAGGTAGGTAGATGGAAAGCTAGGTAAGTAGATAGACAGATAGGCAGATAGATAGATAGGTAGGTAGACAGACAGCTAGGTAGGTAGATAGACAGGTAGGTAGATAGACAGATAGGTAGATAGGCAGATAGATAGGTAGGTAGATAGACAGCTAGGTAGGTAGATAGACAGGTAGGTAGATAGACAGATAGGTAGATAGGCAGATAGATAGGTAGGTAGATAGACAGCTAGGTAAGTAGATAGACAGCTAGGTAGGTAGATAGACAGACAGGCAGATAGGTAGGTAGACAGATAGGCAGATAGCTAGGTAGGTAGATAGATAGCTAGGTAGGTAGATAGGTAGGTAGACAGACAGCTAGGTAGGTAGACAGACAGCTAGGTAGGTAGATAGACAGGTAGGTAGATAGACAGATAGGTAGATAGGCAGATAGATAGGTAGATAGATAGGCAGATAGATAGGTAGATGATGCGTGTTCTGAGGCTCAGGAAGGTTAAAGAACTGCTCAAGGTCAGACGGCAGAGCCGGGATTGCAGGCAGCTTAACCACGACACTGTCCACTGTGTGTCATTTACAGAACGAAGCAAACAGGACCACTGGCATTCACGCCACGTGTCTGTGTCTGGGCAGAGGGATCTTACCGTGGGGGTTCTGCAGAAATGCCTCTGAGTCCAAAGGCTAAGCATGGGGCAGGCCAGCACATCACCCTTCAGGGGGTCAGGAGCCCTCCCTAACCCAACTGCCCCGCTCCACGTGGCCTCAGGCTTCTGTCCTGTGGGTGGGCATCCTGCTTCCCTGGGGGGGGGGGGGGCTCTGTGATATAAATTCCCTTTCCTGGGGAGCTAGTGTTAAGACAGGAGAACTGGGCAGTGAAGAAGAGAGAAGGGAGGGAGGGAGGACCACCCTAGACCTGAACCACCAAGACATGTGCGTCTCATCTCTGCGGCGGGACCACCCCGCGCAGACACCGCAACAAGACGCGAGCAGCCCGGGTCTTGCCCTGCTCTGTCCCGGCTTTTCCAGGCTCCCAGTGTGACCCATGCCCTTGCGGGGCCGCGCACAGCAGGCTGTGGGGAGATGAAGTGTTTAGGGTGGCCCAGGGCACCCAGCGCCGTGCCTGAGGAGAAGGGGGGCCCAGGTCCCCGCACACCCGGCCGCACTGGCCCTGTGAGTAGGCGGGAGCCGCGTGGGAAGGGCAGAGGCCTACCTTTCTCAGCGCCCGCCTGGTCGTGCTTCTCAAACAGCAGGTAGCGGGGGCTGTCAGGGAGAAAGGGCAGGCTCCCCAGCTGGACCACCGCAGGGGCCACAATCACTCCGAACAGGTAGGGCCAGGTGCTCTCCTGAGGGGAGAAGAGGGCGGTGAGTGGGCGTGGCCTCGGGGCTTGGCCCTGGGTCCCGCAGCTTCAGCTCTCTGCGAAGGTCCCTCCTTATGCATGGGCTGGACCCCACCAACAGGCTGAGGGGGACCAGCCCAGCCCCGTGTGTCTGGAATTCTCCAAGGTCGGTGAATCCTGCGAGGCGGTGACCTGCAGGGTAGCTCTGAGGAGGGGAGTTCAGGGGGGCCGCGGGCTGACTGACCCCATGACTCCCGGGGCGTCGTGGTGAGCCTGGAGGGCTCTGCTCTTTGCTGGGTGTGTGGCCTGGAAACCATTCTCAAGGCCCCTGCCCTATGGCTCCACCTCTTTCCCTGGGGAATGGGGACAGCCCCGCCACCAGTGGGACCAGACCGTGCTCCGATGGGCCCTGGTGCTCAGTAGGTGCACAGAGGAAACCACCGCTTGGGCTGGAGCTCCACCCCGATGCCCCGAGGCCCGGATACCCCACCATCTTGCTCCTGTCAGTGAACCGAGTGGCCGGGGGGCACAGCTCGCCCTGAGAGAGGGGCCTGTCCCCTTCCCAGTGGCTCTGAAAGGCAGCAGGTGCCGCACCAGGCGGTTCACCAGCGCCTGTGACTTGGCCTAGCCCAGCCTGGAGCCCTCACGACGCCCAGGAAGGCCTGTGGCTTTCCCCCGGGTTTACGAAGCAGCTCTCCCTGGGCCCCTGAGAGGAGCCTGTCCACGCTGTGCAGTTCTGACCGGACGGGAAAGAGGAGAAGCAAACGCTCATCCTGGACACATTTCATTTCCTCCGAAAGTAAAAGGAGACTGTCGAGGAGAGAAGGCGACGCCTTCAGACCGGGGGAGACCCGCACGGGGGCGAGGGGCGAAGCTGGCTGCCTGCAGGGGGAGTCCTGTGGGATTGTGTCCACAGAACCCGGGAGCATGCCAGCGGGGGGCGCCCCAGTCCCATGTCTCCTGGCTGTTTCCCCATGGACATCATGGGGACAGAGGCCCCGAGTTCTGGGTCCCTGAGGGTCGAGCGGGCAGCGACCCAGGAAGCACCGAGCAGGGCAGAGGGCAACAGCCAGTGATCATTCGCCCACATCCTAGTCTGTTTTTTCCCCACTCTTTAAACAAAGCAGATTTTATTTCCATAAAATGAATTTACTTTCCAAATTACATGCAAAATTATATTAGTTTCAGTTGTACAACATAGTGATCAGACATTTATATGCAGTACAAAGTGACCCTCCCAATAAGTCCAGTACTCATCTGGCACCATACATAGTCATGGTCATATTAACGACTATATTCCCTAGGCTGCACTTTATCTCCCCGACTATTTTATAATAGTCGGAAATTTGTGTTTGTTTGTTTTTTTAACTTATCTTTATTGAGTGTATTACAGATGTTCCTCATTTTTCCCCTATTGACCCCCCTCCTGCCTTTCCCCACACTGTTGTCTGTGTCCATTGGTTATGCATATATACATATAAGTTCTTTGGTTTATTTCTTCCCTCCCCCCAATTTGTACTTCTTAATCCCTTCACCTTTTTCACCCATTCCCCCAACCCCCCTCCCATCTGGCAACCAACAAAATGTTCTCTGTATCTGTGAGAATGTTTCTGTTCTGCTCGTTCACTTTGTTTGTAGATTCAATTGTCTATAGATATGTATCCATTGCCATTTTGTTTGTTCATATTTTTTATCTTTTTCTTCAAGAAGACCCTTCAATACTTCATATAATAATGGTTTGGTGGTGATGAACTCCTTTAGCTTTTCCTTGTCTGGGAAACTCTTTATATGGCCATCGATTCTAAATGACAGCTTTGCAGGATAGAGTAATCTTGGTTGTAGGTTCTTGCTTTTCATCACTCTGAATATTTCTTGCCACTCCCTTTTGGCCTGCAAAGTTTCTTTTGAGAAATCAGCTGACAGTCTTATGGGAAAAGCCCTTGTAGGTAACTAACTGCTTTTCTCTGGCTGCTTTTAAGATTCTCTCTTTGTCTTGAACCTTTTGCACTTTGATGATGATGTGTCTTGGTGTGGGCCTCTTGGGGTTCATCTTATTTGGGACTCTCTGTGCTTCCTAGACTTGTATGTCTGTTTTCTTCACCAAGTTAGGGAAGTTTTCTGCCATTATTGTTTCAAATAGGCTTTTAATTTCTTTTTCTCTCTCTTCTCCTTCTGGCACCCCCAAGATGTGAATGTTGGCATGCTTGAAGATGCCCCAGGGGCTCCTTACACTGTTCTTTTATTATTATTATTATTATTCTTTTTTCTTTTTGTTGTTCTGATTGGATGTTTTTTGCTTCCTTACATTCCATATTGTTGATTTGCTTCTTGGCTTTACCTACTGTACTATTGAATCTGTGTAAATTATTCTTTATTTCAGTTAGTGCCTCCTTCATTTCTGACTGTGCACCCTTCATTTCTGACTGGTCCTTTTTTATGCTCTTGAGGCCCACACTAAGTTCACTGAGGTTCTCACTAAGTTCATTGAGCATCCTGATAAGCAGTGTTTTGAACTCTGCATCTGTTAGGATGCTTATCTCCATTTAACTTAGTTCTTTTTCTGGATTTTTGTTCTGTTCTTTCATTTGAGACCTGTTTCTTTGTCTCCTCATTTTGGCTGCCTCCCTGTGTTTGTTTCTATGTATTACTTAACGAGAAGTATGGGGCTAGCTAAGACCAGATGCTGCTTGTTTGAGAGAATTTAGGAAAACCTGAAGCAGGATCCAAGACAGGCCAATCCTATGGTAAAGCAACTGGCAACAGCTTGGGTGGGCCTGGAAGTTGGGTGGGGCAGGGCCTTAGGGAATCACCAGGGCGGGGCCAACAGTGTGAGCCAGGTTGCTGGAGTCCCAGATAAGGGGAAGGGCTCACCAAAGGAACAAAGGCCTCTGACAGCACGTTTGTCCCCGAGAAAGCCCCCTCTCCAGCCCTTGTTCCAATGCCAAACAGCTCAGTTCTTCCCCATATGTCTCTGGTGCCTTTCAAGCTGCCTCCCCCATGCTGGATCCTGGAGGGTGCGAGTCTGAGTAGGTTTGTGCGTGGGCCCTTTAAGAGGAGCTGCCTGGGGCTCCCACAGCCTCAGCCTCCCTGAGCCTCAGTTCCTGCTGGTTTTACAGCCAGAAGTAATGGGGATTCTCTTCCTGGCACTGGAACCCTGAGCTGGGTGCCTGGTTTGGGATGGGGACCCCTCAGTCCTCAGGGAGGACCTTCCCAGCTGAGATTTTTATCCGCCACACGTGGGTGTGGGACCAGCCCGGTCCCTCCGCCCCTCCTACCAGTCTCAGTGTGGCTGCTTCTTTAATCTCGTAGTTGTAGGACTTCCATTCAGCTTGATTTCAGGTTTTTCTGAATGATGGTTGTTCTGTAGTTTAGTTGTAACTTTGATGTGGTTGTGGGAGGACGCGATACCACGTTTACCTACCCGCTGTCTCAACGGGAAGTCCCCACGTCCTAATCTTTATGGTACTTCCGATTCCACTCCCCTTTCTGCCCACGATAACATTTATGGTCCCAAACCTGTCAAGTTCACCAAGCACGGTTCCTCCACCGCCCTGGGAGCGACTGCTCAGCCAAGGCCAGCTTTCTAGTTTGGGGGCGGTCTCTCTGTAAGGGGCCAGGAGAGGGGCCAGAGGGAGCAGAGAGTGGGGAGTGACTGCTTATGGGTGTGGGTTGCTTTTGGGGGTGAGGAAAATAGTCTGAATTAGCAAGAGTGATGGCTGCACAACTTTGATGCATCCTACAATTATATCCCGATTTTTAAAAATCACGGAATACAAAAAATGCCATATGGAAAAGGAGAATTGTCGCTATGCCTTGTTTGTGCGTATGTTGTTGATTTCGTTTCTCGTAGAGTTTGGCTGCTGCCCCGCTAAGAGCAAGAATAAAAGCTGGGGAGGAAAAGAGACATGGAATCCAACCCAATTAAGCTCCTACTATGTGCCAGGCATGGTGTGAGCTCATCACATGACTGTGTCATCCAACCTCCCAGCAGCTGGGAGAGGCTGGAGCTACTGTCGGATACCAGGGACGTGGTTGGAAATGCCGGGGCCGAGGCCTCCCAGCCAGCAGCCGCACAGGCGGGAATGAGGCCCAAGCTTTCCCAGACGTCACAGTAGAGGGGCACGTCCCAGGGGTGGGATCCTGGGAGTTGCCACAGGGAGAAAGGAGGAGAGGAGCTGGGAGGTACCTGGAGCGGGAACAGCATGTGCGGATGTGCAGAGGCGTGGTCCTCACAGGTCACTGGGGAACAACAGCTGCAGGGGATGCTGGCTGGCGACATGGCAGCCGAGGCTGGAGCCGTGGGGGAGGCCAGGTCATGGGTCATTCGCTGTGCTCCATGGCACCTGGACTTGGCTCTTCACATAACCAGGGCCCTTGAAGGACCTGTACACGCCGAGTGTACGCTCTCTTGCAGCTCAGCGTTTCTGGAATCGTACAGTGAGTGTGCCGAATGGGCTCCTCTGCTCTGGGCAGGCAAGTCTGTGGCACAGTCTGTCATCCACGATGTCTGAAATGCAAGGACATGCGGACTCTTTCCTCAAGGCGACCTCTCTGACGGCTGTGGTCTGGGCTCCACCCCTGGAGAAGAGCGGTCCTCCTGACCCAGGGCGGGCAGCGCCCAGCGGGCTCGCTGCCGTGTGGACCGAGGAAGGAGAGCGGCAGGATGTGCAGAGGACCCCTGGGGCCGGTTCCCTCAGGGGGCCGAGCCGAGCCACCAGCGGAGCCCGTGAAACCAGTCTTCTCCAGCGAGTGCGGGTTGGCTGGAGCTGTCAGCGGGCCGTGGGCGGAGCTGTTGTGTTTCAGAGTGGTTCATGCCCACCTTCCGCCAAGGCGAGTGTGACGGGGTGTGTGGGTCGGTGAGGTTTTTTTTTGTTTTTTGTTTTTAATCCTCACCTGAGGACATTTTTCCATTTTTTTTTTTTGTTCAGATAGAGTGGGAGGGAGAGAGAGAGAGAGAGAAACATCGACGTGAAAGGGACATATTGAGTGGCTGCCACCTGCACGAC